GGGGGGGGGGGCGTTAGAGAGAGAGAGTATGGGTGTACCCCAACCAGAGAAGCCAGAGCAGCCCGTAATTCAGTCAACACTCTTTGGCAGACTTCTATATTTTCATCTGTAGCTGCAAGAGCTTCCCACACCNGGGGGGGGGCGTTAGAGAGAGAGAGTATGGGTGTACCCCAACCAGAGAAGCCAGAGCAGCCCGTAATTCAGTCAACACTCTTTGGCAGACTTCTATATTTTCATCTGTAGCTGCAAGAGCTTCCCACACCCGTTCTGATATCCCTGGACCTAAATCAGGTTTGACACTACTGACCCATTCACCATGATTTTTCTTGAACTCATACCTGTCTCAGAGAGAGAAACAGTTTAATCTCAATACCTGAATAAAGAGAGGTGTCTTTCAGATGGCAAGAGAGCGACTGCTATCACAAAGAATACTCGATATAGAAATAATATGAACACAAAGTGAAGTAAATAATCATGATCTGCAACCTTTGAAGTAATAGCATGGCACTTGAAAGAGCTACCAACGATGGTATATTAGGCTCTTCATTTCTGCATCCTTTCCCCATGAAAAGCTTCAAACTTGGAACTCTCTCCTCAACGTAGGCCCCAAGGCTCACAGTTTTCAAAATGTGACCTGCATTTTCAAATACAAAAAGCAAAATTGACTCATGAAAACAAACTGATATAGATACTGAATATACATTTCACGTATCTCATATACTATATTCAAGATAGTAGCGTCTTATTATTGGTCATACTGCCGGTTGCCATTATTTTTTTCCTTTTCACAGCACATAGGACACAGTGAAATGATGAATTCATTGAGTGATGGGTTGGTATATTCACATATGATCAAAATCGATATGGGATCATTAGTTAATTAGGTGGTTTATGAACTCCAAATGCCAAATACAGAGCCTGACCATATAGCACATCCAGTAAGTTAACCTACACACCCCCAAATAACTTCTCTGCAGCATTGTTAAGAAGTTGACTTAGCTAANGACAATGTTGCAGATATCTTCACCAAACCTTTGGTAAGAAGCAAATTTGAGTTTTTAAGGGAAAAACTTGGAGTTTGCAGCATCAAAGCCAAGGAGGAGTGTTAAGAAGTTGACTTAGCTACTGCATTTCCTATTTAGTTGCTGTAATTTTTCTTTTTCTGTTATGTTTTTTATTTATTGACTTGTTCTACTGCATTTCAGTCATCATTTTCATTTTTCTAGCTAAATTGTTAAACATGGAGGCATGTTCCATGGTGGAGTTGTAATATAGGAATTTCTGTTTTTTTTGAGCTGTATTTAAGCACATTTGCAGTTAATAAAAAAATAGATTACACTGAAATATTCTTCTCTTTCTCTGTTAATTCTTAGTTTGCTCCAACAATAATCGATCAGGCTGGATGCACAGGGAAAAAAAAAAACTAGTTGATTGGCCAAATCTAAAAGCAAAGTATTTCCGAAAGGAATGTACAGGAACAGAGGCCACAACTGCGTATAAGGTTGACATATGATTATCTTGTGGTTCTGTTTTGTCCCTGCTTGTTCGGTTTAAGTTCTGCCTGTTGGCCATGATCTCTCTGATGAGGGACTTGGTTTCTATCAATGTAGGGTCAATTTATTTATTTATTTAATTTTTTTGTTTTGCCCAAAACATTTACCGTCCGGCCCATGGTCAGTCACTCCTAGTGGTATTGTCAAAGTCGGTAATTTTAAAATCATTGCAAACTTTGTTTTGGTGTTGAAGATGTATCGCAATTATAAACCGAGTTGAGGTGACTTATCTTTTTGCAAAAGGTTTTGTAACGTCTGCTGCTAAACTTGTTTTTGTAAACATTGTTATGTAAATGTAAAGTTTCTATTTATTATGGAACGCACAAGAAAAATTAGAAGTGAGCTTCCTAAATTTAGAGTGGGGAAAAATCTTAGTCATTGGTGACTGACTGGCTTTTGTAAAAGTACATTTGGGCGATAATTGATTGAAAAATTAGCTCATTTAAAATAAAAAATCTAATGTTGTAGTCTAATTAAAGATTTGCAATGTTCATGCTATTTGAAAGAGCTTTTAACACGGAGTGGAGACTACACAATGTATACAAAGAGTAACTGATCTTTGGATAACATCATCTTAATTCAGGTTTAATTTTGCCATGGAACAGGGGTAAGGGAAGTGTAGCAGACAGTTTAGAAAAAGATTTACCTTTTATACATTCGGCTCGGCAGGTAAGTACTGACATTAAATTGAACAGCATATATAGCTAGTAAATTACTCTGTTTTTGCTCTTAATATTAAACTCATGAGGACAAAAGAAAATAACAAAACATACATGTGTGTGTGTGTGTGTGTGTGTGTGTGACCTTAGTCTAAAGGCGCAAATATGTGCAACCAAAAATTAGCAAGGAAAGTTTAACCTACAACATCAATTTCTACCAACACTAAATAATGAACACATATTTCAAGGCAATAAGCAAAAAATATGATAGGGCCTACAGGGATAGAAATCAAAGCAGGTGGGCAATGTGTCCAAAAGCTTTCAGACACAATATCATTTATAGTTAAAAAGAAGTTGCATTTTAGTATATATAATTGGATAGCCTAAAGCTTTTTCCATATGTCTTGGTATTGCTTTTGTACATAATATTTATAGTTGAACAGCAGCATTTAGCATGCCGCTAACAAAAAAATAAAAACATGCACTTTGATATATAATTGGAAGGCCTGCCTGGACCAATTGCTTTATACTCAGACAGTCAAGTACATATTTAATTGGCATATTATGCACTTTAATAATAAGGCATGTTAAAAAGCGGGCAGAAAAAAAATAAAAGGATCCCAATGAGACAAATTAGAGATCACCAACCATTTGACAGGTAATACTAGATTATGCACCCATGAAAGGAGGAGAGCCGAAAAAGACTCTATAAATTTCCCTTAGCTGATCAGTCCATAAACACTAGCACTCTACTTAAGCCATGAACAACGAAATGTCAATGTCACAGTCCACTGGGAGAGATCACGCAGAGTCCCTCCATATGGAATTGGCAGCCGACATTGGAGAGAGTTTCAGGTCGTCCTTTCATCTCCATGCATCAAGTTTTAGGAGTGCTTCGGATGCAAGGTCATCTAGACAAAATGAAGATGAAGTTGAATTACAGTGGGCTGCAATCGAGAGACTACCCACATACAAACGACTTAGATTATCATTGTTCGATCATACAAATTTACATGGCAGCAACAAAGAGGAAGGTAAGGCTGTGATTGACGTTACCANTGAGTGTTGGCCAGCTTCTTGAAAATGGTTTTAAAGTGGTTTTTGAGGGCAATCATTGCTTAATCAAAAACTCAAAAGATGAAGATATGTTCAAAGTGAGAATGAAAGGGAAGAGTTTTGCACTAGATCCTCTACAGGCAAAGCAATCAGTTTACTCAGCAACAACAGTGAATGCAGAAGTGTGGCATAGAAGGCTGGGTCATTTTCATCATAGAGCAGTGGTGAATATGCAAAAGAATGAACTTGTTCAAGGTTTGCCTAATCTTGAAGTTGAACTGCTAGAATGCAAGGCTTGCCAATATGGAAAGCAATCAAGGCTTCCTTTCAAGAAAGCTACCTGGAGAGCATCAGAAAAACTTCAGTTGATTCATACTGATGTGGTTGGTCCACATAGAACTCCTTCACTTAATGGGAGTAAGTATTATCTGCTTTTCATTGATGATTCTAGCAGAATGTGCTGGATATATTTTCTCAGGTTCAAATCAGAAGTGGCTGGTGTGTTCTGGAAATTCAAGAACTGGATTGAAACACAAAGTGGCTGCAAAATTCAGACGTTGAGGTCTGATAATGGGAAGGAGTACACGTCTGCAACTTTCAGTGAGTTCTGTGAAGAGGCTGGAATTGAACATCAACTCACTGCTCCATATACTCCTCAGCAAAATGGAGTCAGTGAACGTAAAAATCGTACAGTGATGGAGATGGCCAGGTGCTTGCTTCATGAGAAGGAGTTGCCAAAAGAGTACTGGGCAGAGGCTGCTAACACTTCTGTGTTTCTGCTAAACAGACTTCCTACAAAGGCAGTTGATGGGAGGACACCTTTTGAGGCTTGGTATGGTTACAAACCTTCTTTAAAGAATTTAAAAGTGTTTGGCTGCTTGTGTTTCACTTATGTGCCTCAGATTAAAAGAGACAAGCTCGACAGAAAAGCTGAAGCTGGAATCTTTGTGGGATACAACTTAGTTTCAAAGGCTTATAGAGTTTTTCAACCTGATACAAAAAAAATTCTGATAAGCAGAGATGTGCATTTTATGGAAGATGCTAAATGGAATTGGAGAGGAGATCAGGCTGGTAAAATTCCAAGTCAAGATTCAAAGTTGCTAGAGCTGTCCGAATCTGATTTGGTTGATGATGAACCTATCAGAGGTACAAGATCACTTTCTGAAATCTATCAGAAGTGCAACATTGCAGTCCTGGAACCAGAAAATTTTCAGGAGGCAGAAAGAGATCCAAAATGGGTAGCTGCAATGAAGGAGGAGTTGAGCATGATTGAGAAAAATAAAACGTGGCAGCTGGTAAAAAGACCTGATGACAGAAAGGTGATTGGAGTGAAGTGGGTATTTAGAACAAAGCTGAATGGAGATGGCTCTATAAACAAGCATAAAGCAAGGCTTGTTGTGAAAGGTTATGCTCAAATCCCTGGTGTTGATTTTTCTGACACATTTGCTCCTGTTGCCAGAATTGAAACAATCAGGTTGCTGCTGGCCATTGCTGCTCAAAAGGGTTGGAAAGTGTACCAGTTAGATGTCAAGTCAGCATTTCTAAATGGTCTTCTTGATGAGGAGATCTACGTAGAACAACCTGAGGGATTTGTTGTGAAAGAGCAAGAAGAAGATGTGTATTTGCTCAAAAAAGCTCTATACGGCCTGAAGCAGGCACCAAGGGCCTGGTATAGCAGAATTGATGAGCATTTGATGCAGCTGGGATTCAAAAAAAGTCTCAATGAGGCTACCCTCTACATCAAAGGTGATGAGATCAATTTTGTTGTTGTTTCTCTGTATGTGGATGACTTACTTGTTACAGGAAACAACTTGGAACTTGTGAATAAATTCAAGAAAGATATGCAACAGACCTTTGAGATGACTGACTTGGGGGAAATGGCATATTTTCTTGGAATGGAGGTTCAACAAAAGGAGAAAGAGGTGTTCATTTGCCAAACCAAATATGCTAAAGAAATTCTGAAGAAATTCAGAATGGATGAGTGCAAGATTGCTACAACTCCTATGGGTAAAAATGAAAAGCTCAGCAAGGAAGATGTAGCGGAAAAGGTTGATGAAACTCTTTACAGAAGTCTAGTGGGTTGTTTGATGTATTTAACAGCCACAAGACCTGACATCTTACATTCTGTGAGTCTGCTATCTAGATTTACGAATTGTGCTACTGAAACTCATTTTTCTGCTGCTAAAAGAGTTCTAAGATATGTGAAAGGAACATTGAAGCATGGAATCAAGTTCTGTGCTAGTCAGATTCATGTTCTGTAGGGCTATTCTGATAGTGATCATGGTGGTTTTGATGATATGAAGAGTACTTCAGGTTATTGTTTTAAGCTGGGGTCAGGAATGTTCTCTTGGTGTTGTAAAAAACAAGAAGTTGTTGCACAATCAACTGCGGAGGCAGAGTTTATTGCAGCTACAGCTGCTGCAAATCAAGCTTTATGGCTTAGAAAGGTGTTATTTGATCTAAACCTGAAGCAAAATGAAGGCACAGATGTGTTTGTGGATAATCAAGCAGCAATAGCTATCTCAAACAATCCCGTTTTTCATGGAAAAACGAAGCACTTTAATATCAAATTGTTTTTTCTTAGAGATGTGCAGAAAGAAGGTTTTGTTGTTCTGAAATATTGCAAAACTGATGACAATGTTGCAGACATCTTCACCAAACCTTTGGTAAGAAGCAAATTTGAGTTTTTAAGGGAAAAACTTGGAGTTTGCAGCATCAAAGCCAAGGAGGAGTGTTAAGAAGTTGACTTAGCTACTGCATTTCCTATTTAGTTGCTGTAATTTTTCTTTTTCTGTTATGTTTTTTATTTATTGACTTGTTCTACTGCATTTCAGTCATTATTTCCATTTTTCTAGCTAAATTGTTAAACATGGAGGCATGTTCCATGGTTGAGCTGGAATATAGGAATTTTTGTTTTTTTGAGCTGTATTTAAGCACATTTGCAGTTAATAAAAAAATTTAGATTACACTGAAATATTCTTCTCTTTCTCTGTTAATTCTTAGTTTGCTCCAACAAGCATTAACAAGAATTTTAGAAACTCGATCACTTGGAATGCTTAGAAGCTTGAAACAATCATCTGCAATAAAAATATGCTCAGGTCTAGCAGGATGCATATCAGGCATTTGCAGTAGAACCCTCCCAACTTGATTCAATAGCACAGGGTCCCTAGCAAACCAGCATGGAAAACAAGAGTCAAAAAATGAATTGCCAAATAAAATTAGGAAGCTTGTCTCACTACAACGACAGATTAACATTAAGTAGAATAATGCCGATCACATCAAGGGGAAAGAGAGAGAGAGAGAAGTAGAATCTCGTGGACATAAGAAAGCCACTCAGCCACTCCAAACGTCAGAGCTATTAAACACGCATGCACGCACACACACATACGAGAATAAACATGCACACGTTGGCACACCTACCAATGTTCACACTTAAAGTGATAGTATCTAATTTATGTTCATCTCGTAAGCTTTCAAGGTGCCAAACCCATTCAATAGACATTTTTGTTTTTCCTGCCTAACTGAAAAAGATATATCTGACCATAAAATGAAAATATAGCAATGCAGAAAGCACTTACCTTAGTACCTTAATAAGACACGTTGGACCTTTCTTAGCTACCACATAGCTATCTTGCTATGAATTAAAATGCAAAGTGAACATGTCAGGAAATGTTACATTAAAGGTTTCTTGAGAAAATATCTGAATTCAAAAGTAAATGCTTGTTTAAACTGCACTATGATATGAACAATATAATTGGCCATTATTTTGCACTTGTGATTTTCAAGTGTAGAGTTGAGCATTTAGTGCATCAGTCTTATCAATTATGTGAAGGATGTGTTGTTTGTAGTTAGATGGTTTCTCACCCACAATGTCAAAACTCTGTGCCATAGGAATAACCCCCGTAGTAGAAACAACTCCATGAGAAGACCGGAACCCAAAAATCCCACAAAATGAGGCTGGAAATCTTACACTTCCTCCAGTGTCAGTACCTGTGATTGGAAAAGTTTGCTTCAATTAGGAATATGGAGAAACCCATGAAAATTCTCCAATGTCAGAAAATTCACCTAAGGAAAAATCCACAAGCTTTGCACCGACTGCAACTGCAGATCCATTAGAAGATCCTCCAGGTACCCGATCTGAAGCACATGGATTTGTAGTTGTCCCATGATGTTTGTTTTCTCCAATTATACTGCCAAAAGATGATTGATTCAGTCTTGTGACATACAAGCACACAAAAACACCGAATATTCTTTTCTGTATAAGGAAGAAGAATTAGGTGAAGCCTAAAAGCATTTACAAAGTTGTTGACAACCAAATTACAAAAGGCGTTGAGGTAATTCAGTTTTGCTTTCCATGTCATTTGAATACTATATATCAGTAAAAGGAAAATCAAGATAACGAAAAATCCACAATGTATGGAAAGGAATCATTTCATTTTCACAAGTCCTCCACAAGCCTCCTAAGCATGATTCAAAGAATCGACCGATACTTATACGAGTCGGACGAGGAGTATTCGACTCGTCACCTCCCAAGACGATACCGTTATTCGATGTAAAACCCGAAAAAATTAAAATTTTATTAAAAATGGCAAAACGGTAATTAGTCGTTACAGTACGGATTGAAAATCCGAATTTTTATGGAACTCGGATGACAAAACGCACCTCACATTTGGATTTGTATCGCGAAACTTAGCTATCCAATCAATTTTCGTCAAAAATTAAAATTTTTCACGTTTTACGAGGCAATCGGATGTCGCACAACTAAAATAAACACGACCAGATTTTATTCGTAGAACCCAAAAAATAATTTAAAGTTAGTTCAATAAAAATGTACTAAACTTAACCCGAGACGAGATTTAATTGACCTGGGATAAAATTTGATTATAAAAAGGGGAATGTGTGGTGCAACGAGGCCAAGTATTGAGTATAAAAGGGGAAGAAAATCAAAATTTCTTCCCCATTCTTCAACCCATTATTGGATAGAGAGAGAAAGAGAGAGAAGAGAGAAAGAAAAATAGAAAAAACTCCCTCCTCACCTTCTTCCTCCAATTTACGACGATCCGATCGTCGGATTTCTTTGAGCTAAGAACTAAAGTCGTTCTACATGACAAGACCTACAAAACCATACTAAAGATCGTGAGTTTCACCATAATCTCAAAGACGGATTTTCGGGATCAAGCTTGGGAGGCTTATTTTGGGCGTTTGGAGCTTCTAGTACGGGGATATATGCTACAAGAGGTGAGGTTCCTTTTCTAACTAGGTTTATTTTCAACTTAGAGTTGAAACATGAAATGGGTAGGGTTTTAGAGATGAAATTCTTATGTATAACACATACCTAGAGTTATTAGAATATGGAAAAATGGGTAAAATAATATGTTACAACTAATTCTTGTATGTTTTGGTTTCACAAAATTGATTGATATGAATTTCATGAACAATGTGTTAATTGGACATGTATGTGTTTGCATTTATTCCTTATAGGTATTTGATAAAATGCCCATGGGTGATTAAGTGTGTTATTTTGAATGAAAAATGCTATAACATGATTATTAGTCTTGGAAAATATTATTATATGTTTTATAATATAATTGACATTTGAGAAATTGAGAACGTATGTGAAAATTAAATATATGCTCATAATATGCTCATGATGTGATGAATTATGAAATTGTAAATTGCAATTGTACATAGCATTTGCATATGCACGGGTAGCATCACATTCGTAGGCATTCGACATGAGTGTGGATCTGTGTACATGGTTTGATCAAACACCATTCTTAGAAGGGAAATGTACATTTCATCATGATTGCAAACGAGATACCAAAATGTCTACAAAAGAAAGGACTCTTTCAACAAAGATTTATGCACATGAAGTTCTTCTCCAACATCAATAATCTAGAGGAAACCCGTGTTATTACTACTTTACGGGGATGTATTCAAAGAAGATTAAGCAAAAGCTTAGAAAGAAACACCAACAAATATATTAATATAGCTTATAACAATAGTCGAGGAATTTTCTTCCATCCAGGAGAACATATTCGTTTGTTAGGTGGTGTTATGCTGAAGGCTCAAGAGATTTATGAGACTCAGTACAAAGTAGATATCGAGAATTGCTTGACATCGTCACCGCTAGCTGTGAGCATTTATCGTATGAGCTATTACGATCCAAATAGTTTTCCTATCTATATACCAAGTAGGAACGAAGATACATTCATTTAGCGTGGGTACTATGGAGGCCATGATGATACATATAAGCCTTATGGGGTCAATTTATACTACTACGACGTGAACTCCTTATATATATATATCATGAAAACTTTTACTACATCGGGTGGTGTACCAGTCTATGTAATGCTCGTTGGTAACAACTGATTTTTAAACCCATGGGCACCAACTATAAAATCTTGCCATTATATCTCTGAAAAAAACAAAAATTATTATTGTTTCCATCCATCAATGAAAACAAATGCAGACCAATGCAAGAGGCTCTCGTCACAACTGGATCTGGATCGTTTAGTTTGGTGTGGTTTGTCATCTCATGCAATCTGTAATATTACACATTTTTAAAGTAAACATAAGTTTAATAGCCAACACCATCCCTTTGACCTTTTGGGAATTTAGTCTTGTTAAGTTTAGAAAATAGAGAGATATAACCCAATATGAGAGAGGCAGAGAATAACATCATACCTTAAGTCTCACACTCAACTTATATTTATAGTTACCTAATAATAATACAAAGGACTAGTATACCCTTAGGGAGGTATATTTCTTATACAATAATAAATATTAACCAATATTACACTAACACTCTCAACACTGCTGCTCAAGCTGGAGTATATATATATATATACTTTAAACTTGGTACAGATGGTTGTAAGTCGAGGACGACTCAATGCTTTGGTGAACATATTGACAAGTTAATCCTCAGATCTCACAAATGGTGTTGCAATATCTCTATCTAGTATCTTGTCTTGAATAAAGTGACAATCAACTTCAATATGTTTGATCCTCTCATAAAATACTTGTTTAGCATCATCTAGATCCCTGAGATTTGTTACTAACTCACACAGACCCCCTCATGTATGAAAAATAACATTATCACCCCTTGAACTATGGGTACATAAAACACAAACATCCCTGTCGTTAGCTCCGTTCAACTTGCCATCAAAATTGAATGACATCAACATATTATTTTAAATAAAATTCTCTAAAATTCAAGAGAAAACCCAATAATTATCCATGCCTTCAAAACACACCCGAGTCATCCTCAACCCCAAAATGCATCTAGCACAAAATTAACCCCCATTATTCCCCTCCCCCGTCCAATCCTTCCACCCTAATCCCGTGTACACATTGTTGCAAAAACCCACTAGAAAATGTTTGGGGGAGAGGAAAAGGGGGAGAGAGAGAGCGATGCACAGTAGAGGGGGAGAGAGAGAGATGCATAGTGGACTTACTCTACCCCAATCCATCACCACCGAAACACCATCCACCCATATTTGCCACCATCTAGAACACCCCCAACCCCAAAATCTGCTACAAAAACACCCAAGCCATCACTGAACCCCACACAGACAATTAACCACGCCACAACAATTCAAACCCACTACATATATTCTAACCCTTTTGTCCCATTGATTCTACACCCACCAAAACTGTCACCATGAAGTAGACCCCCACCCCTAAATTCTCTACCACAAAACACCAAAACTACCACCGTACAACGCCCATGCGACAGTTACATCTGCCTCCACCGAAATCACACCCTCAAAATCGACGTTGTCTAGACCACCTTCACCCCCAAAAACCTTAGCCACCATCCCAAGTAATCATAGCAGCCATCACGTCACCAAGACGAGAGAGACAAAGGGGAGAGGAAAAGTCTTTGATCATTGTTCTGAGAGAGAGGGTTGCAGTAAGGTAGAGTGCAATGGAGGAGAAATCGGTGCCTTCGGTGGTGATGATTGTGTAGAAGCTGGAATGAAGTGGGACAGAGGAAAAAAAAATGGGATATTTTATGGGTTTTGTGTTCGGGTCAAGTTGGTCAGTTGTGAATTAGAGTTTTTGTTTAATCTGAATTTTATCAAGGATAAAATAGACATTTAGCAACTTCTGTTAGATCTGTTAGCTAATTGTTACTTACAAGGGGTTTTAGTATAATTTATCAAATGTGAGGAAGTCCATCTATTTAAGTGATAAATTTCAGGGGATTTACATGTAATTTACCCATATCATTATTAGATCCCAATTTTACCCTATCCCAAAAGTTACTAGAGGTAAGATGAAACGGGGTAGTGGCGTAGACCAAGAAGACCCCTTTTTTAAGTGATCAAACATCGTAATCAAACAATTAGAGGCAAACAAAAGAAAGGGTTAGAGGATAATACGTTGTGGATTATAAAAACTATAAAAATATACTTTTTTTGTAAGTGTATCAAGTGAAAAGTCCGTAATGCACCTAGGATACTTTGTAATTACAAATTTTTTTTCTTCAAGGTTTGTGATTATAAACTTTAAATCTTTTCACCAAGTTAATGTGTTACTAGTTCAACTAATTGGATCATTTGGGTTTTTGCGAGTTTAGACAAAATGCTAACGAACCGAATCTAAGAATAGGTCATTGGTTATTCGAGTACCAAGACATTAACAAAATGATTTTTCGTATAACTATCCTCTAGGTGGTCCAAAGTGCGATCAATATTACCTCGATAGAGTATTTCAAATGATTAAATGAATAAGGTTTACCTGTCTTTTTTCAAAACTTTCTTGAATAAGATTAATCAATACACTCAAAGCAAAAAATAATAATAATGATTCAACACAAGATTAACAAAAGATAAAGCTCTTATTAATCTAGAAAGAAGCGTTGGTCACACAGACATATGAGATAGTCTTATTTACAACAATAAGTCCTATTCTAAACTAAACTAAAAACTACTCTTAGTTATGCCCAAGTCATGTGTCTTGTTGGGTTTGATCATGTCTCCTTCTATTATTGATTCTTTTTTATAGGCATATTCCATCGGTTGGAACGCGAGTCTCAAGATTGTTAATGACACGTATAAAACAAATATATATATATATATATATATATATATATATTATTTGTTAACCCTGCAAGGTAGCATTAGGATTTATCTTCGATGCACAAATAAAAACTTGATGTAGATTGAACAATCGGTTAGATGGACCTCATGATCTTCTACCGTATGTCTTTCAACTCCAACAACTCGAATGCAATATGAACGACAATCCTTAGAATTTTCTTTCTTGCTATCTCTCTCTTTGTTTCTTCTAAACGTGAAGGTAAAAAGTGGCTAAGAGAAGGAAAAAGAGTGTGTATATATGGGCTATAGTAGAGATCCACTTCAGGATCCACATACTAATCCTCTTTTGTCGAGGTGAACCTGCTAATTTTGAAAAATTCAGGAAAAATTAAAATTTTATTAAAAAATAGCAAAACGGTAATTAGTCATTATAATAAGGGTTGAAAACTCAAATTTTTATAGAATTTGAATGACGAAACGGATCTCACCGTTCGATTCGTCTCTCGAAATCTAGCTGGCCAATCAAATTTTGTCGAATTTCAAGATAGTCAAATTTTTCGCATTTTATAAGGCGATCAGACGTTGCGTGGGCTAAAATAAACATGATTATATTTTAGTCACGGAACCCAATAAACAATTTAAAGTTAGTTCAAAAAAAATATACTAAACTTAAATGAGACGAGATTTAACTGATTCAGAATAAAATTGGATCAGAAAAGCTGGGACGTGTGGCTTAATGAGAGCCAAGCAAATGAGGGTATAAATAGGGGAGAAAAATCAAAATTTCTCCCCATTTACACCTATCATTTCAAATAGAGAAAAAAGAGAAAGAAAAACAAGAGAGAGAAAAACAAGAGTTCTCCAAGTTTTTTCCTCTGATCTACTGCAATCCAGCTGTCGAATCTCTTTGAACAAAAAAATAAAGTTGTTCTACGCGACAAGAGTTACGCGTACATATCAAAGATTGTGCATTTCACCAAAATCTCAAGAACGGGATTTTTGGGATAAAGGCCAGGTTTAATTTGGGTCGTTTGAAACTTCTCTTATGCGGATTTATGCTTCAAGAGGTAATATTCTTTTCCTCATTAGATTTATTTCCAACATAGGGTTATATATGAAATGGGTAGGATGATTTGAGATGAAATCTCTTGCTTAGCATACACTTAGTGTAAGTAGAATATGCAAAATGAGTATAAAAACATGTTTGAACCAATTTTGTATGATTGGGTTTTGAGAAAATTGTTTATTTGTAATTTCATAAAGAAATGTGTAAATTGGGCATGCTATGTGTTTACATAATTTTTGCTTTATTGGAAATGATAAAATGCCTATGATTGATTAAGTATGTTATTTGAATTGAAATCAAAAGTCAATTTGCCCGAAATTCAAACTTCATGATCAATGTTTCAGAAATGATTCGAGGTTTCTACCATCCTTTTATTCATCCTAGTTAAAAATATTAAGATAATATTATCCTATTTAATTATAATACGAGGTCTTACATATATAGAATTTGAAAGAATAGTCATTTGAGTAAATGTATTTTGATCCTCCAGCAAAGTTAAGCACAAGATTTACATGGGTTAATATTCATCTCCACTATAGATGTCAATTGTTTTTGTGGATCTCATTCAATAAATCACAAAAATTAACACGGTCATAACATACATAAATTTGAATTTCAATTGCAAACATAAACATAATACTCAAATATAGAATAAACTCTTATAGAGTGCTAATATGCAAACACTCAAGATTCAAATTGAATATTTAAAAAAAAATCAACTACTGCCTGCAAAACAACAAAATACTACCANCACTCAAGATTCAAATTGAATATTTAAAAAAAAAAAACAACTACTGGCTGCAAAACAACAAAATACTACAAAAAAAAGCATAAAAATTACTAAAATCACCTAGAAAATAAAACACAAAATAAAAATAAAGCACTCAAGGATATGCTTATACGCCCCAACCTAGACCCAACACTATGCTTAACGAAAGGTATTAACTTGATACTTCAAATAATAATGGGTACAAAGTAAAAAGGTGTGTGTAAATCTTAAAAAAAATAAAAATCAATAAATAACAAAAAATAATAAAAATAATTCTAACAAACATATATAATGAAAAGAAAAAAAACTATAGATTTGGTTTTAACTCAAATATATATTTTTTATTTTAAAATTTTGGTTTTTCATTGCATTTCTCATTCTNACTATAGATTTGGTTTTAACTCAAATATATATTTTTTATTTTAAAATTTTGGTTTTTTATTGCATTTCTTATTCTATTTATCCATTTATCATCCCAGAACACTTTTAAAGAATTTAATAAAAATAAAATATGTACATCTTTATGCAAGTCCAAAAATAAAGATTTAGATGGTTTTGGTTCAAGTATAACACTCAAATCAACTTGCAACCTCTTGATAATGAAGGGTCTTCAGACTCTTGAGCCTATTGACTGATATGAAAATTAATAATCAACATTATCAGTAGTAGTAATGGATAAATAATGCTCAAACGACATTTGATAAAAAGAATTATTCTCAATGTATTGACTATGTGTATTTTTTTTTTACATTTAAATTAGAAGTTAGGTTAGATGTAAGATTAACAGAGGTTAGATCCATTTTAAATAAATTTACGATCATGGTCAATTCATTGAGAATATTCTTAAGATCTTACATATATTGATTAGTTTGAGCATTAATAGTCATTTGGGTATGCATGAATTCATTCAAAGTGTTTTCAATATGAAAATTTGATAAAAAAAAACAAAATGGTTCATACAGTAATGTAGGATTATCTGGTGTATAATATTTGTTGCCCCAACCATAATTATGATAACAAGGTTCAAAATCATAGTTGGCATAAGATTGTTGGAAATCACGTATAGCATTAAACTGATCCAACAAAATTTGTTGACCAAATGGAACTTTTGGACAATCTTTAGTGATATGCTCATACTTGAAACAAATCCCAGAAATACACTCCGTAAAGGAGTATTTAACACCTTATTAAATAAAGTAAAAAAATCAAAAGAAATTTTTTATACAAAAATAAAAACAATAGAAATATTCACAAAAAATACAATGAAAAATGTACATGGGCTTATAATAAAAATTACAAGACTTACACATTACTGATCTGAATCACCTTTTAAATTCGTTCGTNATTAAATAAAGTAAAAAAATCAAAAGAAATTTTTTATACAAAAATAAAAACAATAGAAATATTCACAAAAAATACAATGAAAAATGTACAAGGGCTTATAATAAAAATTACAAGACTTACACATTATTGATCTGAATCACCTTTTAAATTCGTTCGTTTGTTTTCCTCAGCAATGACACTAAAAATGCTTGATCCCCAGATGTGGTAAATATCAAACTGCTTCCCAAACATAGGAAATTTATCGTATATTAATTCAGAAAATACCGAGGTCGTCTCCTCAGGAAAAAACTACAACAAATTCTAAAGGTGATATAATTCAAACAAAAATAAAAATATTTTGGTTTAAAAGTAGTCAATAAAAACTACNAATATCAAACTGCTTCCCAAACATAGGAAATTTATCGTATATTAATTCAGAAAATACTGAGGTCGTCTCCTCAGGAAAAACTACAACAAATTCTAAAGGTGATATAATTCAAACAAAAATAAAAATATTTTGGTTTAAAAGTAGTGGTGGTGGTCAATAAAAACTAAGAGACAATATTTAAATGAACTTGCTAATCATTAAAGTTCATCTCATCGTGAATATAAAATTTGACCTNGTCAATAAAAACTACGAGACAATATTTAAATGAACTTGCTAATCATTAAAGTTCATCTCATCGTGAATATAAAATTTGACCTAATTTTATAACTCATTGAAGACTATAATCAAATTCACTTGGATGGAGAATATTCAACTAAAATCAGAGTTTAGGAAATATGTATTTTGATGAGAGAATTAATTCATGAAATAATTAATATCATGTTGATTATAGG